CAATAAATACTGTGTGATCTACAAATTTGTTAATTTGTTACCAATAAAAGTATTTCGTGACCTATAATTTGATGTTTTGTGATCATAAAATAAATTGTCTTATAAATTTTGTCATTTCTGTCTGATGAACAAATTGTGACTTTTAAATTTTTAATTTGTGACTAATGAACGAATTGTGACGTATAAAAAATTTTAAATGTGACCTTAAAATTTTTGAATTGTGACCAAATTGTATAGATATGTGACATTTATATATTTGTTAATAAAATATATAATTAATTAATTAAATTATAAATAAAATTTAATGAAAACCTGATTTTTGAAATTTAAAACCTCAAACCTTAATTTTGAAATAGTGATACGTAAATACATTATTTATGTATTGTTCCCCTATCTAAATACATAGTCCAAGGTTATTGTCATGAAACTTATTATTATTCTTTGGTAGCACAAGAGAAATAGGAACAACTCAAATTCTCTCTAATCAAACTGGAAGTCGTGAATTGTTCGTAGGAGTTCCAATTTATTTTCGCCATGTAGATTTCTATTAGAGATTGAACATCTTGACAATTTTATGTTGAAATCGTCTTAGATCAAATTCTAAAAACCGTCCCAACTAGGGGTGGGCAAAACCTGGCCTTGGGCAATCCGCCTTCTATTTCTTCTGAATCTTTCCATATTGCTTTCTTTTTCTCACAGATCACACCCCCATAATGCCCTTCATTTTCTGTCGTTTGGATTGAAAGGCCCTCTCCTTTAGTTTCATCTTTGGGCCACTCTTGTAGTTGCTTTAGTATTGGGCCACTCTCTAATTTCAGCCCAGCCCAGCTATCACTCCCTTCCTATTCGACAACGACCTTGTCGTTAAGGTCAGGGATTTTGTACAGTCGACTGAACTCGGATAAGTTTTCCCAGGTTGCATATTCCCGAGGGCTATGAGACCACTGCACAAGGACCTGTTTGTGGGTCTGTCCTCATTCTTGAATAGTTCGTGCTACCAAGATCGCCACCAGATTCATGACTGGTCTGTTGGTCTTGCTTAAGTCAGGTAGTGGATAGCTTTCCGCTGTTTTGTCACCCCGATATGCCTTGAGCAAGGACATATGGAATGTGGGGTGAATGCGACTGCCAGGAAGTAGCTCTGAAGTGTATGCCACATGACCCACCTTTGCCACTACTGAAAATGGTCCGAAGTATCTCCTACAGATCTTAGCATTTAGCATTTTGGCTACTGTTGATTGTCGATATGGTTGAAGTTTGACCATCGCCAATTCTCCAACCTGAAATTGCACATCTCTTCTATTTTTGTTAGCCGTCTGACTCGTTCTGTTCTAAGCCCGGTGTAAATTCTCATTGAGTTGCTACAAGAAGGTGTCCTGAACTGCCAATGAGTTATCCACAGCTTGCACACTTGAAGACCCCGCTATATAGCTTGGAATGGATGGCGGAAGTCGTCCATACGAAGCTGGAAGGACTTCATTCCAATTGCTAACTGTTGACTGGTATTGTAGTGATACTCTGCCTCGCTCAAATAAGTTCTCCATAGTTTGAGGATTTCCACTGTGAAGGCTTGCAGGTATTGTTCCAGGTAACAGTTCAGCACCTCCGTTTGCCCATCAGTCTGCGGGTGATATACGGAACTCATCTTTAAAAGGGTTCCCAACAACTCAAACAGTTTCCTCCAAAATTGGCTAGTGAAAATGGGTGTCTCTGTCAGAAATTATCGACTTGGGTAACCCATGTAAATTAATCACATACTACAGAAGAGTTCTGCCACTCTAGTTGTAGTACAATCCGTGGGGAAGGCTCCGAAATGGGCGTACTTCATTAATCTGTCTACTACCACCAAGATAATCGTGTTCCTCTTCGAGTTTGGTAAGCCCACCATGAAGTCTATAACTATATCTTCCCACACAAGTTCAGGCATTTCTAGTGGCTGTAATAATCCTTCAGGCGCCATGGTAGAATATTTTATGGTTTGGCAAACCAAACAGCTACTCACAAACTCCTTAACATCCCTACGCATCCCTTCCCAGTAAAAACTCCCACTCAAATGAGCATAAGTCCTTTCAACCCCAACATGCCCTCCAAAAGGGGATTCACTCTTTCAACATTTGGTCCTTTAGCTTTGACTGTCTACTCAAATACAGCCGTCCTTTGTGGAAAAATAGTCCTTCACGAAAGACGAAACTGATTCAGTTAACTAGTCATTGACCCATTACAACTTAAGACCCTGTAGATCGTCACAGTGTTCATTTTCCCAACGAACTCTGCCAAAAAATCAAAAGTACCCGATGAAATGGCCGTGTTAAGTTGTATCTCCGGCCGCTCATCGCGATGTGAAAATGCATCTACAGCGGAATTCTCCGACCCTGCCTTGTACTCAATGATGAAATGATAATCAAATAGCTTCTGGAGGTAACGTTGCTGGTCTGGAGTCTGTATTACCTGAGTAAGGAGTTCCTTTAGGTTCTTGTGGTCAGTTCTAATGATGAATGGTCAGCTAAGTAAATACTTACGCTACTTGGACACTGATAAGTACATTTTACATACTTATTTTACTGTCAAAATATGAGCAATTGTTGATTAATATGTTAGAATATAACTTAATTCAATACAATTCATGTTTTGCAGGATAAGTGACGAATGTAGCGGAAAGAATGAGAAATAAGTGAAAAATAACCAGAATGGAAGAAATTGAAAGTTTAAGGATTAAAGTGCAAATACTTAAAAATTATGTCGGGACTCACGATGAAGGTTCGAGAGTGTTAAGGGTCGATTGGAAACAATTAGAAGTCAAAAATGAATGAAATATTATCAAAATCAATTTCTAATTCGCACAAGATATATTCCAGATTTTTAGCCGAAAATTGAGACCCATTTTTGGTATAGTAAAAGTCCGAATTGGAAATGATATATTTCTAACAAAGTTGTAGCTCTTCAAGTTACCTTCCAATGCATCTTGAATCATCTAAATCGGATATTAAAAGAGAAAGTTATAACCAAATTACTGACTGCTATGCAGAGACAAAAAATCTGCGCGCGAAAGGAACTTTCCTTATTCGATTAGAACTCTTTTGGAAACCAAATTGGACGAGATTTTCATCTAATTTCTGACTCTTAGAAATACTTAACAGCAGAATACATATGGAGGAGGCCACCATACACCATTCTTCTTCAATATGACTCAAAAAACACATGAGGAACTAAAGATCTTAGTGAANGATCTTTGTGAAACTACGAAGGAAGTCTATAGAAATTTGTGATTTCATGTCTTTTATTCATTTAATTTGATTTTTTCATTGTCAAACAATGATAGAATTTAGATTTTCATTCTCTTGAATTTATATTGAAATCGGTTTAATATTTACAAGATATTTTATGGATTCAGTCATATTTTTTCCATTTTCAATCAAACTATTTATTGAGTATTTGGGTATAGTGGTACCAGCTCTCAATCAGATAACGATGATAGCAAACTTTCAATGCGGTCACGTGTTTACCTGAAATGGTGATGCGATCATTGTGAAAAAGAGTTCCAAATGGGAATGACACCAGCTCTACAACTGAAGCCAAATATATAGGTACTCTTGAAGCAATCTTAATCGTGGAATTCAGTAGTAAATTATAAGTGGTTCGTAGTATTGTAGCTCTAATAATAGTGTATTATAAGTGGTTTTAGCATTGTAGCTCCAATAATGGTGTACCGTGACAACAGTAGAGCAATCACGCAAGTGAAGAAATCTAGATCTCATCAATGATACAACTTTGTATTGAGGCGCTACCATCTCATTGTGAGATTGTAGAGAAGATAGAACACATGCCCAATGACCTTGAGAAGGTTAAACATGGAAAAAATAACCATCAAACCAAAAATTAAAATGTATAGATACAGAAAAATGAATTTGAGATCTAGGAATATCCAAGAGATTACTTAGATTCCTACATATCAAGAATCCACTTGTAAAGCCACTATCCAAGGAGAAACATAAATAGCATGAAAACTCATCGAATACACAAGTATTGAATCTAGTGCAAGTGGGGGAGTGATAATATTACGCTATAGGTCCAATCTTTGAGATGGCTTAGTCTAGGCTCTCAATTGTTTTCTGGAAAAAAAATCCTGATTGGGCCTTAGTTTTTTTTTTAGCAAAAAAGCCCACCCATGACCCAAATACTCAAGCCCAAGTTTTAACATTTTGATGAAAAAATGACCCACACAAAACTTTTCACTTCACTTACACTTCAATCTCACTTTTCATCTTCTCCAACTCACAACACTTTTCACTTCACTTCCCTTACACTTCAATCTCACTTTTGTCATCAAGAACCTACTCAATCTATCATTGGACATTAAATTTAATTGTTCACAAATTGATTCCATCATACAACACACAAAGCAAGCAAAGGGATTCAAACGTATGTCAATTATTTCTCCTATCGCTCTCTTGAACTTTTGTGCTTGCGTTGTCATTCAAATTTAGTGAGTATGATTGAGGAGTATGGGACTAGGTATTTGGTGTTTTGGATTGTGGATTTGATTAGAACCCTAGTGCTTTAAAATTTTTAGGAAGAACAAGATGAATTCCATGTGTTCTATATATTGCCTAGGTTAAAATTCATGTCAATTTTGGGCTCATTTAGCAATTGAAATCGTTGCTACACATTTGGGATCACTTTTTGTGTGGAAATTGAGTGAAGTTGTGATAGAAAACACCTAAGACCTAGTTATCTCACCATACTTTTCTTTCTTTTTCATACTGGAAACGAAATCAAAAATGTATAAACAGCAATATGTGAGATATCTTCACATGAATAATGTGTCAATTTGCCATATTTGTTAGAAGTCTTGGCTGGTTTTTGGTGTCTATATTATATCATTGAAATAATAATCAAGTGTTCAGATTTTAATTCATAGGGTTCCTCCCGAAATGAATGACACATCTAATATTGAAACTGTTTACTCCATGAAAAGATAATATTGAAACCATTTACCCCATGGTCAACAAAATAATAAATTACTAGATGGTGTAGTTTTCTCAGCATTTACAGGAGGTTGAACACCTTGTTTTCATCAGTGGAAACAAAACAATTAGTAATTCAAGTTTGTGTTCTGCTGAAATTTTACAACATGCAACTCAAGAGCACTTGTAGTGTCCCATAGGCACTTGAGTGCTAACGGATAGCTTACCTACTCAGGAACAATTCCATTAACATGCCTACCAACAATAGCACGAGATTTGAGATTTTTCTCAAGGTTTGGTGCTATCTCCGAATCTCCTGTATCCTAATTGGTAAGTGCAAGTTGTAAATGAGGAACAGATCATTAGTAAAGAAACAGGTGGGGACACAAAACAGTTAGTTCAAGCTTTCAGCAGAGTATACATTTACCTTTTGCCTGGAAATGGGTGCAGCAACCCTGATGGCCTTGATCTGTTAGTGTGCTATCTCTAGAGCTTTACTCCTACCAATAAAATTTGGATGGGAAGTGTTAATGTAATCCATCTGCGTAATACTGAAGAGATGACAAATTTTACGTAATTCTGTCTCGCCCCTCTGAAACTTAATCTTGGGTCTGCCCCTGGTTATGTGTTTACCTAAAATGGTGGTGCGATCATTGTGAAAAAAAGTTCCAAATGGGAATGACCCCAACTCTACAACTGAAGCTAAATATATAGGTACTCTTGAAGCAATCTTAATCGCGGAATTCAGTAGTAAATTATAAGTGGTTCTTAGCATTGTAGCTCTAATAATGATGTATTATAAGTGGTTTTAGCATTGTAGCTCCAATAATGGTGTACCGTGACAACAATAGAGCAATCACGCAAGTGAAGGAATCTAGATCTCATCAATGATACAAGCTTGTATTGAGGCGCTACCATTTCATTGTGAGATTGTAGAGAAGATAGAACACATGCCCAATGATATTGAGAAGGATAAACATGGAAAAAATAACCATCAAACCAAAAATTAAAATGTATAGATATAGAAAGATGAATTTGAGATCTAGGAATATATCCAAGAGATTACTTAGATTCCTACATATCACGGATCCACTTTTAAAGCCACTATCCAAGGAGAAACATAACTATCATGAAAACGCATCGAATGCACGAGTATTGAAGCTAGTGCAAGTGGGGGAGTGATAATATTATGCGATAGGTCCAATCTTTGAGATGGCTTAATGAATTTATTGTCAACATCTTTGTATTGACAAATCTATCATTTAATCATATATATTCATTGATTTATTATAATGGAGTCGGGAGATTGAGTTATGGTAATTTGTTAATTGTAAGGTGTTGTAATCGTGGAATATAAATTATGAAGAACTTAATCTTATTTTGTTTTCGGTTATTAATAATTACGAACACGAATATCGTAATTACGGATAAATTAGCATGTATCACTTTTCTTTCTTATTAAGAACGTAGTTAATCTCACAAACTAAAAATGTGAAGACATTTAAATAAATATATGGATGAATTGTTAGAAATACAAATCATTAAATGATCTATAATTGATACTTTATATGGATAACTATCTTAGTGTCAACTAAAACTCAAGTGTAGTAGTGGATTTGTTTTTTCAATTGTGCTACTAGTACAAAAAATTGACAGAAAATTTTTACAGGCAACACGTGCCAAGGATTTATTGGAAGATTGAGAAAAAAGAAAAAAACATCTGTAGGGATTCTGTCTTGAATTCCCTGTACGTGGGGGCTTTTTCCTTTTTTTTTTTCCTTCTGACTAGAGATCATTTTAGAATCTTATACACATTTTTGTGGTGTTGGAAGTCACTTTATCTAAAGTAATGAAAATGACATCATTTAGTGTAAGAGTTTTAATTTGGGCACCTTTTAACAATTTTAGAACGTCGAGGGACTAAAATATAAATAAGTATTGAATTTCATATTATTTGGATCAAATAATTAAATATTGATAGAGTGAGAATTATCATATCAAGAGCGGTGCTACAAGAACATAATTGTCTACATAATGGTCTACATAATTACAAGTGGTATTAATCAAAACCTTTAATTCAAATATGACACTTTCACATCAACGACAGGAAGGTTGCCACATCGCATTATGTCATTCATTATGTACATTTATTATGTACACTTAGCATTTTCCTTAATCAAATATAGTTTTGAGTTCAAGTTTTAGCGTGATCTTTAGTACATTTATTATGTACACTTAACATTTTCCTCATATCAATATTGGACTCATTTTGAAACTCATATTCAAGTTAGAAAAAGGTTTTTTTGAATAAGTCAAACTTAAGCTAAAGGCAATAAAAGAAAACTATTTAATTGAATATTTGAATGAGTTTATTACTTCAACTGGTGTTGGTAGGGTTGATTAGGTTAATGGTTGATTATGGTTTGAAAGATTAGCACGTTATCAATTCCAAATTTTGTAGCCATCGTATATAGAGAAAGAAAAGTCCACATATATAGAGAGAGAGAGAGAGAGAGAGAGAGAGAGAGAGAGAGAGAGAGAGAGATGAAAAAAGCCTTTATGTTCTAATTAATGAAATATTTTAATTGTGTTGCGGAAATTGCATGTATTTTATTAAGGATTGTCAAATACACACCCTTACAGTGTTTACATATTTGTTCGAATCGATTGAATATGTGGCAGAATGGTGACGCGATCAGCCCAAGAGATTTAAAGACAATAAGATCAGTAAGTTCTCTATTTTTTAGTTGATTATTAAATTTTAAGTTATAGTTATAGTCATAAACGTGTTTTATCCAGTAATTAAGTTATTATACTTCGTTTCGAAGAGATATAGCTGTCATTAATTTTTTATAATAAATAAAAAAATTATTGTTTAATAATACTTTAGGATCTATAGAAATTGGAGTGTTAATCTAACCGTCTCGTTTGAAAGTTCCCCTCGAGGCAGGCACTTTCCTATTTGGGCGGAGGAAAAATATTATTAAGCATTTAAAATCTGAATATCGCGATCAGACAAAGTTCCCACATTTGAAGGTCAAAATTACTCGAAATTTCCTCCCCGTGTTCAGACCAACGCGTGAATATTGCTGAAACAACCATAGTCAAATATCAAGAATAATTAAATAAAATACAATTGCACCTCTATATATATACATACACACTGTATGCCCTCTCCGGCCTAAAGAATAACAAAAACACAAATGGCCACAGCCACAGCCACAGCCACAGCCACCGCCACCACAAAGGCAATCCTTCCGCTTCACCACCGCCCTACTGCCGCCACCAAAAATGGGCTCTCCATATCAATCCGTGCCTATCAAGACGATTTCAAACTCGAATCTCAGCAGAATCAAAAACCTTCCAACAAGGCAATTAAACTAGCTGAATCATTGTCAAACATGTTATATCTACACATCGAAAGAAACCTCTATCATCATACCTCGAACGTACCAAGAATTGAAGATAAGCATAATACTCCAACCATGTCTCCTAAGGAAGATATATCGAAAAAATGGCAAGAAATCCACGGTTCTAATGACTGGAATAATCTTCTTGATCCACTTCATCCTTGGCTTAGAAGAGAAGTAGTCAAATATGGAGAATTTGCACAAGCAACCTACGATGCATTCGACTTCGATTCGTTCTCGGAGTATTGCGGTAGCTGTCGGTACAATCGTCAAAAACTTTTCGAGAAATTAGGCCTTACGAAAAGTGGTTATAAGGTCACAAAATACGTATACGCCATGTCACAAATAGATTTGCCTCAATGGTTAGAAAGATCAAGATTTGTCGATACATGGAGCAAAGATTCGAACTGGATGGGGTTCGTGGCCGTGAGCGATGATGAAGAAACATGTCGAATTGGACGACGTGACATAGTCGTGGCATGGCGTGGTACGGTTGCACCCTCAGAATGGTACGACAATATGCAGAGGAAACTAGAGCCAATTGGGCAAGGGGAAGCAAAAGTGGAACATGGGTTTCTTAGTATTTACTCATCTAAGAGTGAGTCCACTAGGTACAATAAGTCTAGTGCCTCAGAACAAGTCATGAGAGAAGTTAAGAAATTAGTGAATTACTACAAGGGAAGAGGTGAAGAAGTTAGCCTAACAATCACTGGCCATAGTCTAGGGGGTGCATTGGCAATTCTCAATGCATACGAAGCTGCGAAAAACTTCCCCGGTCTCCCAGTCAGCGTAATATCATTTGCAGCACCCCGAGTGGGTAACATTGCCTTCCGGGACGAACTTTATCAAATGGGCGTTAAGACTTTACGCGTGACAATAAAACAGGACGTTGTCCCAAGAATGCCAGGCATAGTCTTCAACGAGAGTCTACAAAAGTTTGATGATTTCACGGGTTCACTGGAGTGGATATACACACACGTTGGAGTAGAATTAAAGCTTGATATAAGATCATCTCCATATCTAAAGAAAGGGTTGAATTTGGTGGGAATTCATATGCTCGAAACATATCTTCATTTAGTTGATGGATTTCTCGATAGCAAGACGACGTTTAGATCAGATGCTAAAAGGGATGTTGTATTGGTGAATAAAGAATGTGACATGCTTGTGGATGAATTGAAAATTCCTCAAAATTGGTACCAAATGGAAAATAAGGGGCTTGAACGTAATTCCCATGGTAGGTGGGTGAAACCTACTAGGGATCCAGAGGATATACCCTCACCAATAGTTGAATCATACAATAATGTACTTGAAATGGAGGATAGTTGTGGGCTTGAATCCTTGTTTAGTATTTGAACTTGGAATAGAAATGGAAATGTTAAATGATGTAGGTCTTAATTTCTTTTCGTTGTTAATACTATCATTCCTTGACATTTTTTCTAGCTCGTTTTCATGCTAGAAAAAAACCGTCAATTCCAACATTATTCCTTATTCCCGCGTAAGCGTAAATAATTGAACATGGAATGAGCCTCACAACTTGCCACCTTGGTCCAATTAATTTCCAAAGATCTTCTCTTGCTTTTATTTTCTCTCTAAAAGTAATCAAAAAGGGAAAGAAATTGTAAAGCTGTGGGGGTCGAAAGCACGGTTAGCCGGAATGGACCGCGTTGAACGTTTTCAAGCTGTGCACGGCCTGCCCAAAATTACTCTACTCGTTTGTATCTGAAAAGGAGGTACTACTGCAAAATAAAAAAACTATCAATTTTTTCTCTTCTTCTAGTAATAATTAGTATATTCATACATAGTATAAGGTATTTGTTGTTGTTGAAAAGTATTGACAAGATCAATCTAACAAAAAATGACGGAAAAAAAAAAGAGATGAATAAAAAAAATAATGAAGTAAAGCTTGCTACCGCAAATCTAATATAGATTTCGTCTATGCACTGGTGTCAACAGTTTATGGGTCCACCCACTACAACAAAAACAGCCTACGACAATGTTTGGACGTGTGTTGTAAATCGAGGTGTTGTCGTAAAATAGAGAGATAAGGCAACTTTTTTGAATGTTGCCAAAAGTCCGTAGAGATACGTCAACGTTTGGCAAATGCTGCGAAAAACAGCATACAACAACGATTGGCAAACGTTGTCGTATCTATCTATCTTTTGCAACGTTTGCCAAATGTTGCCGTAGATAGATACGGCAACGTTTGGCAAACGTTGTCGCAGGGTGGTTTTATTTATTTATTTATTTTTAACAACAATTTATACAGATAGATTGACAAAATTGAAGATGTAACTTATAAACAAATTTTGGAATGGTATAAAAATTGACAATTTATTTACAATTTTTTAATCCATACACTTGAACATTCGAATGGGATACAACACCACTTAAATAAAAAGAAGCTTCAAAATGAAACAAAATGGTAAGGGAAAAACTCAATCAAGATACAACACCACTTAAATAAAAAAAAGTTTCAAAATGAAATAAAATGGTAATGAAAAAAGTCGATCATAAATGCTTTCACGGATGTAACACGTTCTTCAACAGCCTTTTTCTCTTCCTGAATCTCCTCACCAAACGAAATAAGTGGTACTTGCTACTCTTGTGGTGACTAGATAGAGATAGCCGTAGGCACTAGTGGCCGGCCATATGTACTTTTAGGTGTTAAGTCAGGAGCTAGCTTTAAGCTTTCGACCGTCCAGAACTATTAAAGGTCAGCAATCCTATTATTAAAGGTCAGCGATTGCTGGTGGTAATCTTGGTGAAAACAAGTCCACAATTGGGGGGGGCAGCAGTATGTCTTCAGTGATTCGAGTTAGTGTTGTCATCTCTGGCAGTTTATCGATTGTAGCTTGCCAAGCTTTAGATCCTAGCCCATGATTTTGAAAAGACTTGCCCTCCCAAGTATTTCTATTTGAAGACCCAATGAGGGTTTAGGTTTCTCTTTAGACCCCTCTCCACTAATTCATTGAGGATTACAAATTTATTATAAAACTAAAAATGTTTACTGTTATTGTTCCGGCTGCGTGTGATTCATGTGTAGAGGGTCTAATTTAATATTCTTAATTTTTATTTTCAACGTTTGGCCGATTTTTCGAAGAACTAATTCATCTTCATGATTTCAACTTCCATATATGTGAAAATACCTCTGTAAATGTCCTCATCACGTCTATGGCAAGATTTATAAATAAATACATACACAATATGGTAAAATTAATGTTATTTTGTACCACTAATTTTATAATATCAGTTTAGGTGACAGTGAATATCATTAAATAAAATGTACAATTAAATTAATCACATAATTTCAATTTTAGTTGAATATATCACATAAATTAATGTTCTCGCTTAACTGATATTAAATAGCATTATTCATTATTAAAATTGGTGTATTCCAAGATATTGTTAAAATGCGAGAAATTTATATGACACTGTGAAAACGTGTTCACGACCAATCATTAAGCACCGTCCAATTGCTGGCAAACCCACCTTTATTTTCGGTGGCCCTGAAAACAAAAAGATTTTGGTAGCACAGTTGAGCCAATTATTAAAAAAAAATAAAAATAATAATAATATTGAAACAATTTCTACAGAATAACGCATTATTATTGAGCAAAATATATTTTTATTTCAATCAATGGGCTTCTTAAAGAAAATGCATATAATATTCCATTTTCTGAAATTTCATTACGATGTGAACCCTCAATAATTCTCAATTTGAATTGAGTCTGATCTTTTAGTCGACACAATGAACGTCAGTATAGATTTAAGAAAAGACATTCAAAAAAAAAAAAAGAAAAGCCCAGAAATTCATAAATTAGATCAAATGTGTTTCATGGGGCCAACTGGTCAGCCTCACGACACAAAAATAAATGAGATCAAACTCATATTGCACTATTTTAGATTGAATATCATGTGGTCGGTATCCCGTCTATCCAATAAGTCACATAATTGAACTATCGAGTTCAGTCTATGTGCATGATTAGTTACACATTTTGATCATGTCAATTTAATAATGGTGCAACCACTCATAAATCAGTCACATGCATAATGTTCCTTGTTGCCAAATGTCACATCAGATCCAATTTCAAAATTAAGCCCTTGGTTCATTTTTATTTTTTTAAAAAAGGATTTTATGGAAGGTATATTTTTTCGAAAACGTGAGGTCAAAAACTATTAATAAATCATAAATCCAAGTACATAATTATTTTATTAAAAAATATTTCATTGAGAATTAGTTTAAGAAAAAATAATTATGAAAAATCAAAATCAAATAAGGACTAAATTTTCTTCAATTTTCGGGCCGAGCATTGTCAAATTGGTGTGCTCACACATACAATCTTCTTGTCTTCATCAAATTAAGCCCCCGTTTCGTCTCATTATTTCTCATTAAATTATAATTTATCTTTCTTTATTTTCTTATCAACCACACATTTTTTAATAAAATAATATTAAACTTAAACCTATAATTTTTTTTTCTTTTGTTTTTGTCACACATTTTTCAAAAAATTAATATTTCTCTCATTATAATATGGAATGATTAGGGCCAAACATGCACTAAAGTACATCAAAATAAAAAATATACTATGCATTGGATGATAGTTTACTACCGAAAGTGTTCATCTGCACGTTGTTGGCAAGAGATCAAGTCGTCCCACCAAAAATATTATGACATAAATTTTAGCCGCAAACAAAAAAAGTGGAAATTATATACAATAAGTAGGAATTTGAATTAAAAACTGACATTTTTCATGAAA